TTCACCATTACCTGCTTCCCTGAACACTTTTTCCAGTTTATTTCTGGCTTCAACTTACATCTTATAAAGCACACTCAAACTGTAAATTCCCTGCAGTAATGTCTGACTTACCTTAATGTGTGGATATAGTGTTCATCATGATAGGGCTCAAGACTTAAAGCATTCTCTCATTACTAATTAACCACATTGAAATTGCCCCAGTAACTTAGCACATTGACTGGAGAATATTAACCTCACTATAGAATTGTATAGAAAAGTTATAACTACTAATTAAATTATATAGTACTTTTCCAAGAGGGGTTTCTCAAGTACAGAATAATCGTGGGAAAATTTCAGGGATATAAAATAACATACATCAAAACAGTGAAAGGTAAGATGAAAAAAATTCTCCAGAGCTCTAGTGCCAACGTCTTTGCTCATGAAATTGTCTACGACTAAACCTAATTCCATTAGAAAGGGCACTGGTTTACATAAGTCTTTATTAGTGTACATACATTTTAGAAAGACTTGCATTTTAGGACTGTTCTCAGTTGTATTTCTCAGAATGGGCATTGAAGGTTACAGAGCTTTTGACATTCTTACTTCATTGTTTAGAATGGACTTAAAGAAAAACCAGGAACACTGAACAACAAAGCTGTCTGCCTTAACGTTGTGATTTTAAGTCTCTGGGAGGAGTCATGAGGACTGTCTGGCTATTCTGTAAAAAATGGTTTAATTTATTAAATATATTTCTCCTTCCCAATTATAAATTACAAAAAAAAAGGGTGTTTGTGACTCTGAGCCAAGTTCATTGATGCATCGATCATAGCTAATGTCAGTCATTACTAAGGTCCTGATTGTGCTGTGTGTTTCTTCACAAACACGATTATAGCAAGTCAATTTGCATTGCTAAATGAATGCTAAGAATATCCAATCACTTTCCCTCCTGGTCAGAGAGTAGTTAATCCAGTCACTAAAATACTGATAAACAGAAGTAACTACTCTGACAGAAGCTAAGATTTTTAAGCACAATATGCATAAGAAATTAGGCATGTAGCTGCTGATAAACAACTACTAGTATTCTCTCCAAGAGAACTGCAAAACTGTTTTAGAGTCACACCAGTTTACCATGGAGGTTACTGTGTGGCACTGGAAGGATTTATAAAAGCTTTACCATTATTCCTCGTTCAAAATTTACCACAGGGCCTGTTGGCAGCATGTGCAAAGGGAATGAACTGCAACTGCTGTGTAGGAAAAAATAATTCCTGCTTTTCCTAGCACGACTGATGACTTTGGCTCCAGTGGCTGCTGTAAGTTGTTGTTCCTTTTGCTGCTCCAGAAGGCAGAGTCCCTTCAGCCTAGCACTGTAGACAAGTGACTCTTGCCTTCACTGGCTTCTTATTTCGATCCTGCATAGGTGACCACAGATGAAATCTAAGCCACTATAAAAATAAGGGGAATTATTTGCAGAACAGTGGTTTGTTTCGGGTCTGATCTTGTTAGAGCAGGGGAAGGTCAAGAAGAAATCTGTGGTTTTTTAATTAAATACACTTTGAACATCTCCTTGCTTTCCAGGTCCCACCAAAACTGTAAACGTACCTGCCCAAACCCTCCAAGCTGCTCCTATGTTGGCAGACGCTTTTTTCATGGTAAAAGAGTTTGCATAGCTACCCAACCAGAAAACAGGAAAATGCCAATGATTTTTATTCAGCCAACCACAGTTCCGCAACACACCAATATTTGTGTTTAGCTTAAACTGTCAGAAATCACTTTGAAATTGTGATCACAGACTTCTGCAAGCAGAAAACATCTAAAACTTCTGAAAGAATGGAATGTAAGAGGGGATTGGTGCCTAGAATTTCCTCTACTATGTACTTTGATGTCATTTTGTAGAGTGTGCCGAGATCTATAATCAACCCTCCCACCCATCCCACCCACTATCCCCAAATCTACAGGAAAAATGTCTGAAATTACTTCATTAATAATTTTTGTCAAGACTACAGATGAAAGGAGCCATTTGTATTTTATCACAGTTGGTAATTAAACATTTACAGTGCAGTGCCAATATTTAATGCACAATGTAGAAGGAGCAAACTGAGCAGAAGGCAAATCTGGCAGAGTTAAACATGGAGTGATGCAGTGGGAATGTGCATGTGTGATCAGAACTGTAACACCACAGAGCAAGTGGCATTGCAATAAAATATTGTAGCAGCAAACTGCTTTTCCAGCTGTGTTAGACTTTCTTCCCTCTTCCCTGGAGCTAAAATGTGAAAGAGTATTTTACCCTCGAAATGACTTGGAGAAACCAGATGAGATTTTGGGAGTTAAGATCACTGGCTGTTTTTGCAGGGCAATAAGGCTGTATAGGATAAATGAGTCCCAAGGAGTTTCTTCTGGTTTTATGACCACTCCGCTTTGTTTTCCCTCTCCATTTCACTGCATATTTTGTAAAAACCTTCTACATCTTATTTGTTGCCTTCCCTCCTTTCATTTCTGATGGAAAGCAAGGCAGTATTCATTGCAAGAGAATATTTTTGTGTAATTTCTCAGTGCTCTAATACTATTTTTGCACGTAAGGGTAAAAACTGTTTAAAGTGCTCTCACTCCTGTTGAAGTGATCACAAGTGTTCTCATTTTTTTCATAGTAGTACTTGTTCTGTCCTCACAAAGCACATACTATACAGAATGACCACTCTTCTTCTTCCGCAGCACTATAAGGGCCATTTCCTTACCGCTATGTCAGTCAAAAGAAAAGATAAACTAAGAGTATAAGTTGCCCAGATAGATGGCAACCTGTGACACACAGATGGTCATAGGTAGATGACTCACCCCTGAACATCCAAGGTCAGGTTGGATGGGGCTCTGAGCAACTTGGTCTGGTTGAAGGTGCAGCCCATAAAGCCAACAGTATCCTGGGCTGCATCAAAAGGACTATGGCCAGCAGGTCATGGGAGGTGATTCTCCTCTTCTGCTCTGCTCTTGTGAGACCCCACCTGGAGCACTGCATTCAGCTCTGGGGACCCCAACACAAGAAGGATGTGGACCTATTGGAGCAAGTTCAGAGGAGAGCCATGAAGATGATCAGAAGGCTGGACCACCTCTCCTATGGAGACAGGTTGGGAGAGCTGGGCTTGTTCATCTTGGAGAAGGGTCTGGGGAGACCTTAAATCAGTTTCCAGCACCTAAAGGGGGCCTACCAAAAAGCCGCAGAGGGACTTTGTATAAGAGGGAGTAATGCTAGAACAAGGGGGAATGGCTTTAAAATGAAAAAGGGGAGATTTAGATTAGATAAAAGGAAGAAATTTTTTTTACTGTGAGGGTGGTGAAGCATTGGCACTCACCGACCCAAGAAACTGTGAATGCCCCATTCCTGGAAGTGCTTAAGGCCAGGTTGGAAGGGGCTTTGAGCCACCTGGTGCAGTGGAGACTGTCCCTGCCCCAGGCAGGGGGGTTGGAACTAGATGTTCTTTAAGGTCCCCTAAACCCAAACCACTCTGAGTCTGTGAAGTCTCTGCTCATTGCAGGGGAATTATGCTAGATGACCTTTAGAGGTCCCTTCCAACACAAACTGTTCTATGATTCTGTGATGCTATGATTCTACCTTGGGTCTCCACAGTACAGCTGAAGGTATTCTCTGACCTGTATAATAAGTCGACAAAAATAATAATATACAGAATAAGGTTCATCTTGCAGTCAGCGGAAGTGCCATGGACTCTGCATAAAGCCAACTGGTGCTATAATTTCTTTTCTCTGCAGATAGTAGAGTTGTTTGAGAAATGATCGTGTGACAACAAGCGTGAAATTAAAGTGTCTGAGTGAGCTTGCCCTCATGCACGATACTCTGTACAAACATATTTAAGTAGATGCCATCTATGGAATAACCAGGCTTCTCTCAAAACCAGCTTAATAGTGCATTGGCAAAGACACAGAGCATCCAGCAGATCAGACTGCAAATGTTTGGTAGAATCGTGCAGAAAATTCCCCAGATTTTTAATACAGTCACTGGTGAACTTCTTACGCTCTGAAGGCTGTGGATCCTTCATTCTATAAACATTTTATCTATAAACCCAGGCTTCTCTGTGGGTGCATGTACAGTAGCAGGCAGCGCAGCCCAACAAGAGGGGCTTTGCAAAACAGAGCAGTTGGTGATGCAGACCTGAGGTCCACATGAGGCACACTTGGGGAAGTTTAATTTCAGATATTCTCTCACTGGTTCCTGTGGTCTACAGGCCACAGCTGGATGAATGGCATCAACTGCTCTTGGAGCACATCTTCTGGGTTTGTGTCGTCCAAAAAGAATCTGATTTGGGTGCTACAGTATGAACAAAATACAGCAGGGCTGTAAGGTCGAGTCATTAACTTCAAAAATGCCTTCCCAGCCTGAATTAAGGTGTTAGTACAGCTCCATACTATGCAGTCGATGTACAAGATCCATCACAGTAATCTTCTTGTTCAAAACAACTATAATAATAGCAGAAAAGCAAAGATGAAATTGCCTTTTTTTCCCCAAATGTTTTTCTGATTGGAAATTTTTACATGGAAAATCTTAATAAATTACTAGCCCTACTTCCAAAAACTCCATGACTCTAATCTATATCACCTGATACATCATGGACCCTGCAAACATTTATTTGGGAGTAGTAGCATTAATTTTGGTAAGATTACTCTAGTAAATAAAATCTTTCATTTCTTTCCAGGATCAACATCCAGGTCAACATCCAAGGTCATAATGCATTTTGATTAGAACAATAGAAAAACAATAGAATAGGTGTTTCCAAAAATCATGTGAAATGTCATCCACTTTGCTCCTTCCCAAGTGAAACCAATACTAATCACTATAAGAAGGGTTTGACATGAGATAGTTTATTCTGGGCAATGAAATATATCCTATCACGAAAAAACTCTGCTTCTTTGCTTGATCCTAATTAAGGAAGTAGACCAACACCATGCTCACGACACATGTAAAAACTTTACCTTAGTACTCTGTAAACTGCTCTGCTGTTGACAGGAACACCATCTCATTTCATGGAGCAATAAAAATCTGTATTTTGTGAAAAATTTTGACAAAAAATTACATATAATGTAAAACCAAATTTTAAAATAGATTCAGTTACAAAGAACTTTGTTTTGCAAAAGATAGAATGGAAACAATACAGTAAAAATAGAGTATTACAAATAAAATGTTTTTCACTTCCAAAAGCCTAAATTATTTGTTTTAAAAATTTGAAATGAAATTTGCTTATGGATGGTAACCCTTAAAAATGAAAGCACATTAGGACAGAACAAGCATGCATTTATTATCAAAATGTGGAAAGCACAGGTTGTAAAACACTATAAATGTAATTGTGAGAGCTGTTTGAAAAAAAAAAAAGGCTTTCATGTCAGCACATTTTGGATAAAGTATGTTTCTTTCTATTCAGGATGGTTCTCATCCAGAATAGATCCATGAAAACAGAGACACATGTAACTTCTTCACATTTTATAACACTTAACTATGGATCTGAGCAAATTCTTAATGTTTTTATCTCTCCTTACTAAGCTGCTTTTAAACTCTGGCTCAGTCAGCCTATTGTTACATGGAGGGCTTTCTTTGTCATGGTTAACATACACTACTAACATGTCTGATCCTGCATCCACTAAAGTCACTAGCAAAACTTTGACTTGGCCAGGGTCACATCTTTTACTACAAAGCAGAACGCATGATGTTAAGGAACAATGCGAATACATTCACGCTGCAAATTTTCCAATGGGCTTCAGTTATCAGAATGAAATGATTCAGTGTTTGGCCTATTTGACACTACATTCACATATTTACATTATACACTTCTGTTACAAACTCAACAGCAGGTGCTCGGAAACAGTTGTGTCCAGCAGTTTCACAAAATTCCGTTTTAATTAATGGAGACAGAGAGGGTAACGTAAAGCCTTCAAGATAAAGCTGGCCCGCATAGAACATTGTCTCTTGAGAGCAGCCAGAAGCTTGGCAATCTTTGAGAGGCTGCCTAACGAATTGTTTCAAGTTTACTTCCAGGATTTTGAAAAGGAAAGTCACTCTTACTTATAAAACTGTATTTCACTGCTGATGGTCATTTTTCCAGTGGCAGAGTCAAAATAAGATCAGGGATGTACATGGGAAGTCTCTGCCGGTGTGCTCTGTGGCTTTGTCCTTGGCTGAGGATCCTGATGTTGGAGGAGTTAGTTAGGTGTCCCAGGACCCCAGGGGTGAAGAAGAAGGCATGCACAGAGAGGACCTTTCCTCGCCTTGCCAGGGTTGAAGTTTGAAGTGCGTGCAGGGCTGTAGCTCACTAGCTGCTGCAACCTCTTGTGCAGCCGTGTCCCAGTAAATTGTTGTTACGTCCATCTTGAAGTTTCTCATGGCTCTGAAGAGATGCCCTGCTGTCCATGCTGGAAGTCTGTCCACTTTGATCCTGCTGTCTTCTTAATCTGCCAAAGGTTAAAACATTGATATAGCTATCAATGCTGATACCTGTATCAGAACAACTGCCACTGCCTGTCCTGTGGATGCCCACATACACTGGTGTATAAAAAGGATTCATACACCATTTGATCTCTATTAACTCCTTGAGCCTTACAGCTCCACTTTCCTTTAAACACGGATGATTGCTCCCTCCTAAATATGTGCAGTTGGGTCTTAGTCAAGCCTGCTCTCATTAAAGCCTATCATATATAGCCAGCAGAGGACAGTGCTTTCTCCGGCTTTAGCACCTCTGCTCAGACTGCAACTTGACTAAACTATGAGGGTTGTTGGCTGGGCACACAATAGCAATAAGCACCTGCTCTCCTCTGCTGCCCTACAAAATTATCAGTAACCTCCATCAGTAAAAGAGAAAAAAACCCATGAGATGAAGGTATATTCAGTATGCCTCTTGTTATTACTTCATAGGCTGTCAAAACCTCCTAGGTGATTCCAAGGAACAACAACAATCCTATGTTGTTTAAAGACTGCAAAGTTGTCTTCTTTTGACATCATTTTCTAGAGAACAGCAATAGCCCCAGAGGTACCAGCTGTTTTATCATCAAGTTTCTCGGCATTTCTGTTCAACAGCGATATCAGCTTCAGTGATTTTACTGTGATTCCTGTGATATACAAATATTTTCCTCCAAACACAGACACAACATAAGTACTCTCAAGAAGGGTGTCAAAATTCATGGAGAAGCTATGAGGTAGGGAACAATTTTTTTTCTAAAACATGAATAGTTGCTCTTTTGGAGGAATTTTTTCTGTTTGCTTTCTCAAAATGAGAAACAGATGTTGATGCACTCCTGAAAAAGGGACCAAGACTTGGCACCAGGGAATACTATGGAAGAAGCTCTTATACTGATTATAAATGGCATGCATGGTATTCTCCAAAAAAACTTAGCAAGTAACACTGACTATGAAGAAAATAATAACGGAAAAGCATTCAAGAATGAAATGTGAAGGGTCAATTTCAAAGGGTAAAATACTTCCAGGTGGCACAAAGACTATGAAGACACCATACTGAAGACTCAAAAGAGAATGCAAAAGGACATGAAAATTCTAAACAGGGCAATAAAGGATGCTAAAGTAAAACTAATGAAAACACTGTCCATATAGGCTGAGTTTAAAAGAGCACGAACACAGGCACATTAAATGAAAAGATATGAGGCAGACTGGAAAAAACCCTCAGAAGATTAGACGAACAAATTACTAAAAGCATTTACCCTAATGGTGATTCTTATAAGTGTACCAGAAATACAGCGGTTATCATTGAGTCTACTAGCCAATGGATGACTGAGTTATTAGAGGATAGGATAAGAAATATGAGACCCTAGCTGAAAAGCCAGTGGTTTATCTTCACCAATGTTCGTGACACACAAGCTTAGGGACATTCTATTGTTCATGAGAAATTCGTCCATCATCTCCAGTAAAACCATCAGTCAAACAGCTTTAGAACAAGCCATTCAAATGGATGTTGACACAGCATCGATTGGATTTGCACCCAAGGACTCTAAGAAAATTGCAATATATAACTTCTGCACAACTGAATGGGGCATAGAAGTTACTGTTGAAGCTGTCTTGACACCAATGAATAAAACACAACAAATGTCATGGCATTTATTTTTTTTAATATGGTCTTCAGAAAGGGATTACTGGGAGAGTATTTGAATAAGAAAAAGTCTTGGAACACCTTAGGGTCTGAGCTACTGTCCTTCACAAGACTGAAGTACTTACAGGCATCTAAAGAAACAGCTACAGTGCTTGGAAACTCATGTTGTAAACTGTGGCTTGCAAACCTGTTCATCCTGCTAAATAGAGGATTAAGACAAGTTTTGGCTCTATGGAGATCTGAAGAATCGTTGTATTGGTCCAAGAAATGCAAGTGATTTCTCTTTGAATTTGTTTATTTACTTGGTTCATAAAATGCTAAAAAAAGAAGGCTTTTACTGTACTGTTAAAATTAATGGGAAAATAAGAACTCTCAATAACAACATAAAGCAGGAAAACACCATTTTAACACTTGCATTGGCACAAAGACAGCATGTAAGGAGGACAGTTGAAAAAGCAGAGACATGGAGCCCATGCTGAGTTCAAAAGATACCAGTGAGAAGCCTCAAATTTCCCACTCTCTACAGAGGTGGTTTCTGTCATTAACTTATTTCCATTATTTTCTTTTACCCTGTTTCTACTACTATTATTGAACTGTAATTAGATTATGGGGGTTTGGAAGTCTAACGAAACATATTGTCTTAGTAATGCTTCCTTGTATTCCCTTTTCAGACATTAACTGTTTCTGTATCTAGATTCACTACCCATATTTACAAGCTATTAAAGTAAGCACTAGGTTGTTAATCTAATGATCTAATATTAACTATTATTTAACTATTTAATAATTTATCAATCACTTTATTCAGTGATTAAAATGGCATTGAAGACTTGTCTATAAGGGGCTATTGTGGACATGCTAACACCTAATTACCAGTGTGCCCTGGGGACTGCAGAAATGGATTAACAATCAGTAGATGCAGATTCTATTTTTATGTCTGTCACTCTTTGGAAAAATTACAGCCCTTTTCTGTGCCTCAGCTTCTCTCTTAACAAGTACAAAGAATATAGTGTGGTGAAACGATGGGGAATTATATTTGTACTGAAATCTCACATGGTTTGGAGCTCTGGTCATAAATCTGAGTTGTGCCTAAGAAATAGAAACAAAAAGAAAATTGAAGCCATGTTTGGTCTGATGAAATCTTTTATTCTTATCAAACCCATGCCCACAGGAGATTTTTCTAGATGGACTGGTGACAGAGCATGTTACAGGCTTGTATTTGCAGCTCTTAATTAGGCAAAGGATGCAATGGACAGGAACATGCCAGGCAATGTGGGACTTTGCTTCCAGTTGCCCATCTAGAATGTGATGCTGAGGCAGCTGCTGCCAAGAATGATGGAAGCTGAGAGCTTTGTGCCTTTAACTACTGTTCTATGCCTCACAGGCCTGAATGAAATGGGGAGTTTGGACTGTGAAGACTCAAAGGACTCACACTGCCACCTCAAAGAACAGCATCACCCTTGGTATTGGTAACTTGGAGTATGATGGGAAGTACAAACACAAAGCTACTGTTTAAGCTACTGGGTAGCTTGATCTTTACATATCAATATAAGCATCATGAGAAGTCATACGTTTTGGTTTACCTCTCTGACCCATATAATGAGTGTTTCGTGGTAAGTAGGTGGTAGACAGGTGTAAACTAACAATGTTGGTCATATCAGCTCATTTTCTGGATCACCTCATCCAGAAGATGCAAAAAGACTTCCTTTCCTTGGTTTGCACTGAATAAAAATGTTCATGACACCCACAATCTCTCATGCTTTAGCAAGAAAAACAAAGTCACTTCCTCAAGCTCATGCAAAGCCTTACCTCTTGCAAAATCCCTTATTTAAGGTTTATAGGAGCTCATGAGCATCAGGAAAAGCTCTCATACTATGAAATCAGGGCAATTTTTTGGCAGTAGTATGTAGGTCCTGCAGTATGCAGACGTCTTTTAAAAAATAATGAGTACTATATTTGAAAATTTCCTCCATTATTATTTTATTTTGTTATCATTTTATCATCAATTAGAGGCAATGATTGTGGAAATGTTGATAACTGGTCATGATTCCTGGGACAATAAGCAGCTTGGCTTGTCATCTGGCTGACACTGCAGGGAACACAAATGAAGTTTGATATATGGACACTTAATAATTTTCTGTCTGCAATTTTTAATGGTTTCTCTTATAAATTGATTCTGGCTGTGATCTCTTTTTGTGAAAATTGAAGAAGCTGGCAGTAGTTCACAATTGTAAATGAGTGCTTCTCTTTCTCTTATGTCTGTCACCAAGATTCTGCTTGCTTGTTCTCATCTGCCATGTTTTGATTTAACTACATTTTTAGTGAAAAGCTAAAAGAAAGAAGTGAGCAAAAGATCCTGATCAGGTTACTTTTAATTGAATAAACATATCTGGGAAGAGTATTTTTGCTTTTCAAAACAAAATATGCACCAAATATATCAGAAAAGAGTGAAAACACAGATACTTGTTTTCTTTTTCAAAAAAAATAGCAAAAAGAAGCTGACAAGTTGATCAGAAGTACAGAAAATTTGCTTATTTTACACTTCCATCCATAAAGAAGAGAACTCTAACCTTTTCTCAGTGTAAGTCTTAAGGAAACATGCTAACAAAAAAGAACTCTGGGATACAATACTCCTGGATTGTCCGCATCCTTTTGGTACGAGCTGCAGATCCTGCTCAGATTTGCTTCCCAAAGAACCCAGGATGCAGGATGAGGACCTGGCATATGGTCAGGACATATGAACAAAGAGAATCTTCTGGCCAAATTCTGCAAAATTCCCCAATTTGATTTCATAGCAACATATGTAAGAACTAAACGGTATAATAATCCTGCACAAGATTAAGTTACCTGTTAACCTGAACATCTGCTAAACTATCCACTTCACATTCCCCAGTGGTATCCAAAAGGGTTCTCATGACAGGTAGCAAAAAGAGTGCTGCATGGGAATGTCGTTTCTGTATTTTAGACTTCAGTTACATTCACACCACAAGGTAAAATGGAAGCTAAATGGCACAGACTGGCTTGCATCCTTATGACTAAACTCTCTAACCTTCAAACCAGAGTTGCTGTATTCTAGCTGCCCATAGACAGCTTTCAGTCTATGCTAACCTCTGAAACATGAAGGGAATTGCTTCAGAGAGAGACTGTGGCCTTAGAAAACTTATGTCAGCAACCATGTTAACAACTGAGAAGTATGGAATATTGCCTATATACTGCCTTCAAAAAATAGACAACAGCAATACGGTAGAAAATGAAGGATAAGGAATAAAAAGGAGTAGAAATAGAAGGAAAGTTAAACACTGAAAAATGAGGAAGGATTTAAAAGAATCCCAACTGTGGAAATCTAATTAATTAAAC